CTCTCCTCTCCTCTCCTCTCCTCATTTATTACATAACTGATGGACATTTTTTGCAGTCCACTTCAAGCTCATTCGTCCGTACCGTTTGAGGCTTGTAATTACGTCACACGGGCCTACGAAGGCCGACGTAGTCCARGCGTTTGTACTAATTCAACCTGTGAGGTATATTTTTCAATATTGCCTACAGTTTTAAGTTATATTCCTGTAATTACAGCACATACTGTGAAAATCGAGTTTTGAAACAGACCTCTTAGAGTGGAGATGACATATGCAACCACAGGCATCCCGCGTCCTGCTGTTTGGTATCATTATACCCACTTGGCTTTGTACCAGTAAAAACACTCGCTTCATACAAAACAACTTGTTCTCCGATAACATGACTAATAAGAATAAGAAATGCCGCCTATATTTTTCCCGCAATCTTATTCACGGTTTATAAACTGTCAAGACTGGATCATCCGAAATACGATCGAACCTCTATTAAGTGGCCAGAGTCAGGTCTTAGTCATGTGGCCGACAAATAGAGGTTGGCCGTTTAATTCAGGTATAGATTACTGTAAAAAAACTATTTGGGACTTTGACAACTGGTCGCTAGATAGAGGTTGGTCGCTTAATAGAGGTATAAATTAGTGCAAAAATCCTCTTTGGGACTTTGACAACAGGTCGCTTAATAGAGGTAGACATTTTCGCAAAATCACTCTTTGTTACTTTGTAGATGGCAATTGCAATCCATCCCCCCCCCCCCCCCCAAGATTTGTTGTTAATATAATAACTACAATATATCGAAACATTCATGGATTACCCTCCACTTTAGAGATTATCCTAAAACGTAAGATCTATCAGTTGTTGACTGGTGTCCAATGTAAACACGATAACATCCCAACTGCATTCATCGGATAATATTATCTTATTTAGAGGGGAGGGGGTGGGGTTGGAGTTGCCAGATACCCACCACCCCTCTGGAAATGAAATCCTGGATTTTGTCTTCAAGTATCTTCAAAACTAAAAGTCAAAAGCAGAATTTAAAATGAATGCACTGTCATTTTGTTTGTATGCTAAATGATTTATATATGTATAGAAATAAACACGACGGACGTCCAGTATCGAGCATGGCTGTCAACAGGTCTCTGAGAGGGGAGGGGGTGTTACCGATGTAGAACACTTAAATCTTCCCTCATAAATTTTAATAAAGTATTCGATTTTATAAGGGTGCCAATGGGGATACCCATGTGTCAGTTAACTACTAATGCTCCGGCCGAATGTCAGTTGATAATTTTACGAGTACTGGCAATAATATTAACAAAAATAGTGAACTATCAGTTCACTGTAAATTTCTCATTTTAGGTTCACTA